GACAAGGAGAGCTCTAATTTGAAGGAAATGCACAAAGATCAACAGATAGGTGATGAGTTGGAATCAGGCCACCAGTTTGCATCATAGAATCCTAGAAGGGTTTGGGTTGGAAGGACCTTAAGCACCATCTTGTTCCAACTCCCTGCCATGGGCAGGGACACCTTCCACTATCCCAGGTTGCTCCAAGCCCCATCCAACCTGGCCTTGGACACTTCCAGGGATGGAGCAGCCACAGCTTCTTTGGGTAACCTGTACCAGGGCCTCACCACCCTCACAGGGAAGGATTTCTTCCCAATATCTAATCTAAAACTTCCCTCTTTTAACTTAAAACAGTTCTTTGTCCTGTCACTTTCTGGCTGTGCCAGAAAGTCATTCTTCAGCTTTTTTGTAAGGTCCCTTTAGATACTGGAAGGTGCTCTAAGGTCTCCCCAGAGCCTTTTCTTCTCCAGTCTGAACAACCTCAGCTCTTCTCAGCCTCTCTCCATAGCAAAGGTGCTCCAGCCCTTTGAGCATCTTCTCTTTCTGGAGCAGTGGCAAAGGATAAAATATACTGCATAATGAATGTGTGTGTGTGAATTTTAAACTCTGACTCTCCTGTGGTGATGTTGCAAATGATTTGTTTTCACCTGGTTCATGGATGGGTTAAATTAGGTCCTTCTCTTCCATAAGGCCTTCTGCACAGAGCAATCCATATGAGAAGAAAAAGTCCAACAAAAGGTGATGGTACCCCACCAGCAGGTCCATCCACTCAAGGAATAGACCTTCCACTACTGCAGAGTGCATCAAAGCCTTGTGAGCAAATTGCTTCGCTTCTGTGGGTTTCCAATGGTGCCTCTGAGCCTCTGCATTTTGGTATCCATGAAAGAAAACTAATGATTCTTCCTTATTGGCTTCTCCAGATCGATAAATTCCTCCTCTTCCTCAATTTAGATGAGATTTTCAGTGAGGTGAGTGATACAGGCTGAAGAATCCAAGCCCCTAAAACAAAAGACAGACGTCCAAACCCATGATTCACCAGTGATGAGCTGAAGTTGGGCCATATAGACTTTGAAGTAATTCATTACATTTGTATCTCTTCTGTAGGGGGAGGATTTTCCTCAATGATTTGTATGACCTTGCTAAACCCAGATAGGTGGTAATTGAGCAGCAACTACTTCTTCAGAAGAAACAGAATAAAAATATTGAAAATATTGACTCACCCCAAAGGCAGTAAGCAGCACTTTGGTCTTTGACCTTTAAGCATCCTAGGGTAGTCAATAACCTGGCTGTTGGATGCTGTGCCTGCCACTGATTTTGATTTGGGAGTAGTTTAACCTTGAACCAAGATCCAAGTAACCACGGCAACAGGAAGTTGGCCTCTCCATCCAAGGAGTGGGAATCCATAAATCAAGGTCCCTAATGCAAACACTGTGTGCAGGTAGAGATTTGAGAGGATAAGTGGTTTGTGAGGGATTACCTTTGAAAAAATGAATGACTGTCCCTTGATATGTTGAAACACAGCTTCACAGACTTTTTTTCTTTTTTTTTTTTTATCAATAGAGGTCAACAGGTTACAGCTGCATGTTTTCATACGGCTCTTTATAGAGGCCCTTCAGTTTAATTAGAGCCAGATGTTGAATTTATGAGGTTGTTAGCATTATTATGTACCATATGCACGTGCATATATGTGTATGTGTATTGATACACGCACCCAGAAACGCACATTTCTTGTGCACCAACTGCGTTCATGAATAAATAATGTTAAGGCACGAACTCAAGCACTGGTGAAACCTCAGGTTTGCATATGCACAGTTCCACGGTGGTGAGATCCCACAGGTGTAATTACCTAGCCAAATGTCCCGGTTATTCTGTGGGACACTGTTTTATTCAACGTACAGAGCTCACCTAATGAACAGCTATTTGGTAGCTGGATTTTCCTCTTGCTATTCAGTGCGTGACATCATGTCTCATTTATTCCACATTTCTAAGCCTTGGTATGAATAGATGAATGTTTCATGAATGTTGATAATTTTATTTTCACAGGACTGCTCTTGAGATGAGGGGTGTATTATTGTTCTCATTTGCGCTAGAGAAGCCGAGCAGAGAGAGATTGAAGTTTAATGGATACAATTTGAGATGCTTAATACCAGGTTTGAGGCTCTGGGAGGATGTGTAGTTTAATAGGCAGAGATTCCTGTATTTCCACCAAGCCATGACCTGTAATACTGTCTCACTCATGGCTATTTCTGCACTCAGAGCTCTTGCCTTCCTTAAGTCCACAGGCTGATATATCAAGTCGTGGGTTCATCAGGTTCATCTATTCCAAACTGATCTACTCTGTAGCCCTGTCTTTCAGACTCCTCTCACCAGAGCAGTTCTGTGCCTCTCTCTGATAGAGATCTTTTCCATGTTTTCTGAGGTAGCCCGTAGATCTGATATTTCTCATTTCATGGGCCAGAAGCAAAGGTAGGGACTATTCATAGCAGCTCCAAGCAGCTATGAAGGAATATATATACAAGGAATTTTTGGTTGGCATCTGGAGTGGCTGAGTACAGCCAACAGACTTTGTAGAGCTGTTTCTTACTCTGCTTTGAGATCTTCTTGATCTTCTAGGAAAGGAGCACCAGTAGCAGCTGAGAGATCTGATGGGGCTCAGCCTGGAGAAAAGGGGGCTCGGAGGGGACCTTCTGACTCTCTGCAACTCCCTGACAGGTGGAGGTCAGGCTCTGATCCTGGGGAAAAAGTGATAGAAGAAGAGGAAACAGCCTCAAGTTGTTCCAAGGAAGGTTTAGATTGGATATTAGGGAATATTTCTTAAGGGAAAGGGCTGTTGAGCCCTGGTACAGCTGCACAGGGAAGTGATGGAGTCCCCATCTCTGGAGGGATTTAAAAGCCATGTGGATGTGTCATTTCTGGATATGGGTTATTGGTGGCCTTGGCAGTGCTTGGGGCATGTGGGACTTAATGATTCTATGGCTGGAGCTGTCAGAGTACTTGTGGAGAGCTTTTGGGAAACAACCAGGTGCTATCCAGGTGCAGTGGGTGTTCATTGCCACAGGGGATAAAGGCCCCCATGTGCTGACCTGACCTGCTGTGCAGGGTGGTTTGCTGCTGGCCTGGCACTGGGATTACACCAAACCAGATCAGAGTGGTAAATTGAAACAGGTAAAGGTGTCAGGAGACTTTCATGAATGACCAAGAAGTTCCTGAGCAATGTCAGATACAAAAAGGAAGCAAAAGGGAATTGGCACAGAGAATTCCAATGCCCAAGTATGCACGGAAGGGCTTAGGAAGCCAAAGTTCTATATGGAGTTGAATCTAGGGCAGAAGAGCACCAAGAAATGTTCCTACAGGCACATAAACAGTGAAAAAGTAGCCTAGGGCTCCTTGCTGAATGAAACAGGGACCCTGGTGGGAAAAGACCAGGAGAAGACTGAGGTGTTCATTGTCTTGTCTGCCTTGATCTCTACTGGTAAAACCGGCCTTTGAGAGTCACAGGCCCCTGAGACAGGTGAGGAAAGGAAACTTATTCTTGGTGGAGGAGGATCAGATTGGGGAACAGTTAAACAAACTGGACATGCATAAGTTCATGGGATCTGGCAGGATGCATCCAAGGTGCTGGTTGGCATCATTGTGAGGCCAGTCCTGGCTGGTTTTGAAAGGCTGTGATGATCAGGAAAGGACCCTGAGGAGCAGAAGAGGGGAAATGTCATTCCAGTAAGGGCAAGGAGAAAGATATGCAGGAGGATCTTATCCATGTATGCAAATATCTGATGGGAAAGAGTAGAGAAGGTGGTTCCAGACTATTCTCAGTGGTGCACAGGGATAGGACAAGAGGTAGTGGGCACAGACTGAAACATAGGTTATGTCTGAACAACAAAATTTTACTGTGAGGATGAACAGATTGTACAGAGAGGTTGTGGAGTCTCCTTGGAGATATTCTAGACTGACCAGACATAGTCAGGGTAACCTGCTCTGGCTGACCCTGTTTGAGCAGGGTGGAGTGGACTAGATGGTCTCAAGGGGACCCTTCCAACCTTAGTTGCTCCATGGCTTTTTTATATCTCTGTATAATTTAATTGCCAAAATCTGATGCATTTTATCTGAGGCACACATGCAGGTAGAGGTTTGAAAAGGAAAGGAATTTATGACAGATTATCTTTGAGATAATCCTATAGCTGTCCTCATCAAGTTGAAGCTCAGCTTCACAGAGACTGGGAGAGGTTTTCAAATTTGAATCGCAGCAGTTTAAATCTGACACATTTACAGTCAAACCAAACAGGTACAAAATATGACAGTTTCAAAAACATTGTTAAGGGAGGAATCTACCAGACATAAGTGTATAATTTTTGGGGTTTTTTTTCTGGAATATTTGACCTCTTTGGCTTATTTCTACTACTCATTTATTATTCTGCATTGTAAACTCCAGATAAAAAAATGTATGACAAAGAAGTTCTTTTTTAACTCCCTTCTCTTTGATGAGTTTTAAGGTAAATTTTAACCAGGGAGGGTATTTCTGAGAAGTGAGTATAATGTGCTTTAGATAGGGAATTACATATTGACATTGTTCCTGATGCCTGTTCCTTACCCAGATGAAATACCCACTAAGTGAGGTGTTTATAGAAGAGAAGCATGTAGGAATGTGTGGAGAATAAACTACCCAAGGAATGACAAACAGTCGATCCCACTAAATAGAGATATGAAACATGTCTCTCTTTATACATACATCAGGGTGTATGCAGGTTTTTTAGAAGGAAAAGTAGTAATGTGGATTTTTTTTTCTTTCTTTTTTGGTTTACCATTGTTTGTAGAGACCAGTGATGGTGTGTCCTACAGCAAAGTTATCAAAAACAAATAACAATGGTGATCCTTGCTAGTATCAAGACTGTATTACAGGTACATAAACAAGGAAATATGGACATAAATCAGCATAACCAGCAATAACTGACTATTCTTTTTTCAGATATCCTCTAAACATGTTACTTTATCGATATTCATCCAAATTTTATTTCCTTCCCCAGGTATTGCAGGTCCCCACTTAAAAGCAGACCAGACTTCACTTCATGGTAAAATGGAAAGTTCTGCCTGTAACGTGATGACCAGAAGGAAACCAGCAGCTGTTGACAGTGTTGCAATGCCAAGTCCAGTATTATCTCTCCTACCTTCATCAGCAGCAACATCTGAAGCAGGTAATGCTGTTTCCCTCCTTACCCTCTATTTCTTCCCCGTCTTCTTTCTTCTGGAACTGCACTGCTCTTTCTGATTGGATGAGTAGCTGCAAATGTGCATATCTAATGTGATAATCAAGCTGTAATTTTTCTAACACTTCCTTACTGTGATTGTATCTTGGCATATCAAATCTATTTCACCCACATGCCACCAAACTCGTGCAATAATGAGGACACAAGTAGCCTGTATGGTCTAGCAGGGGGTTCTGTAGTAGGACTATGAGTTTCCTTCCTTATTTATCTGAATGTTCCCGTCCCTGTAGCATGAACATACCAAATGCACAGCAAATACCTAAGGAGCAGATAAGATTTTTTTGCCGCATACTTTAGTGGTTTTAGTGTTATATTCTGTCTTGCAAATGTGAAATTGTATGGGGAAATGAATAGTACTTTAAAATATCAGATTAAATAAGTCAGAACTGCATGCCTGTCTTATATTTTGTGCCTCTGTTTTGAATCAGATCAGACAAGTGATGTTGTTATACTGTTGGAAATTGAGCCAAGTCATCACACCTTGTTATGGGCATGGAAAGAGAAGTTAATCTTTCATTGTGTCTTAAGTTCCAATGAGTGGGTGACCCACAGTACACTGCCTTACATACAGCCTCTGGGAGTTTCACAGTCTCGTGAAACTTTTGATGCCACCTTCACAAAAACCACATTTGTATCACTGATTTACAGAATGATAACATATGTAATTATTCAATTTAAAGTGCTGTTTCAATGCACTCATTTTGATTCCCCTCTCATTTCCTGAATGAATAGTGAAAAGAAAGGTTCCATGCTGTAGAATACCCTCCATAAAGATAAATTTTTCTATCTGTTTTGTCTTTAATACTTTCCTATATATAAACTAAGGACAGATTTTTAAAGCAGCAGAGAATGAAAGCACACAAATATTTTATGATCCGTCTCAAGATGAAAGTGTATGCTTGACTACATAGTTCATTCTTTCCATTTTCAGAAGTCTAATTAAATCGTTGGTTTATCTGTAGCCCAGATGTTGAAATAATTAAGTTGAAATCTGAAAGAAACTGTGTTAATGGGAAAACAGGACAGTGCTATGGGTTTCCTGTAATTAATAGGGAGCTCTTTGAAAATTCCTCCATTCAAACCAAGTGAACAAACTGAGCCCAGCTTTGAGCAAACAGTCTTCTTTGTGCCATGTTCTTGCAAATGGCCTCAGGCAGCTCCAAAGAGATGGAGAATGACAAGCAGTAATAAGGATTTTAGAGCTTCAGACTTAACAGCCATCCAGAATAATGTTAGGGGGCCTGTGGAGAATGTCCAGAGTGGTCTGATCTACCTGGACTCACCTTGGTCACCATCACTCTGCTGGAGTGTATCCTTCAGCCACTTCCAGTCTACCCTTGGAAATGTATATTTTTGCCAGAGATTTTTCTCTGTGCCTCAGAAGCTCTTTGCAGCATCCCATGAATCCTGCATGACTTCCTGGCATGCCCATGGCCACTTCAAACTGTGGGACTGACCCTCATTTCATAGGTGTACCCCAAGGAAGGGAGGAACACTGAGACCTCCATGTGCCTTATTTTAAATGTGTAAGGCTGTGTTTTGAGTCCAACATTGGTTCTTGGTTGTCTGGGGAAGCTAGGTGAGGTTGTTTGGACAGTGTGAAAAGGACAAAGGAAAAGTACAAGCGCTTGTGCTGCATCACAGGTTTCTAATTTCTCTGTACCTTGGGCTTGATTTTGCCAAAAAAAATGGCCTCTGGCCTTTGTGAAGGCAGCGTGTGGCCATGCAGCCTGGGGAGGTGTAGGGAGATCTGTATTCCCAGGCAAAAAAGTGTTCCCCCTGTGCATCCCTGCTGCCTGGCATTTGCCACATGTTGTATCATCTCCATAGGAGCACATTCCCCTTTTCAAATGCCTGCATGCAGACACAGAGTTACTGTTCCTCTTCGCCTCCTCAACCCCTTCTAAATGAGTTCCACCAAATAGAGCAAGACAGAAGTCTTGCAACGTTTCCATATGTAAATAGCAAAATATGTGCACGACCAGAAAAACAAAACTTAAAACCAGTGCAGACTAACTTGGGTCTAGGGTTGGGAAGGGTCTGTCTGAAGAAAATGGAAAAGATTAATACTTAGCTTTGTTTTTCAGCAGAGCAGTATATCACATGTCAATATAGGAAAGTACTTTATATCAAAGATTGCTCACCAAGAACTTCCAGATGAGTTGATAACACCTAATGGCTCTCACTTCAATAGTGGTTTACTTTGGCAGATCTCCCTGATATTTTGTCATATGCACACCTCATCAAATCTTCCCCCTGCAGACCTATCAGACTCTTTCCGCACAGTCTCCCTACACCAAATCCAGAATCAGATGTCCCTAACACTTAATAGTCAAAATAACATTGAGTTTCCTAATATCTCATTTAAAAAGCCTGACTTGAAAGGATATTTACTCATTCAGTGCATGCATTCTGACTATTGGCAGAGTGTAACAGAACTCAAATGCTTTCTAGAGCCTGCAAGTTCAGAGGCTTGCTAGGAAGAAAAGCAAAAGCATTATTAGTAGTCATAAACACCCCAAAGCATTAATGAAGGAAAAATTAGTGCAGTAAGCTGGCGTAGAACAGTACAGAATTTTTTTTCTAGATGAGAAAATGAGTTTCATTGCAAAAAAAGAGAAACATACTGTCAGCTTGCAAAGTTTTTTGAGAGAAAAAAAAATTATCTAAACATGAAGGAAGACACTGAGAGAGCAGTTTGGCAGAAAGTAAGAGCCTTCGTTTGCTCCAGTCGGGCACCTCACCTCCAGTCTGCCTCTTCACCAGAGACTGCACTGAGGGTACTCAGCCTGAGTGAACTCTTGAGTGCCTAAGGTACTCCATGGATTTCAGGATGGGCAGGAGTGTTGTGTTGTTCTTGTCCAGTATCAGGACATCAAAAAGATGTGTGTGGTTCCCTTGAATTTCTTTGAGTTCCCATTTGAGAAATGAAGGTCATCCTCTACCGTCTGTATACACCAGGTCTCCATTGACCACGATCAGGTGGTAACACTAATCTGCAGAAACAACTGGCTACAGATAAATCTCAGTAAATACATAAAATCTTTGCAGGTCCTTGGCTAATGCTTTATTTCAGATCTGCTTCCTGTCCTTTGGCTTACTTTCTTTCCAGAGAAAATTAACAGTAAAGCCAAATCTCCTGGTATCATCATGAACCTGCAAGTGTTCCTGTACTTCTGCTAAATATCTCATCATCAGCTGAAAAAAAAATCAGCATTACTTTCTCGGAAAAAAAAAACAAAAAAAAAAAAAAAAGGAAATTACATCTCAAATATGAGAATTAAGGGGAAAAAAAAAAAAAAAGGCAATAGCAATAAAAGGCAGAAGGTGGACAGCAAATGTGAAGAGTGTGCCAAATGCTTGATTTTTCAGATCTTCTGACCTTATGCTACTCTCAGGATCTGGGAGGGGCTCAAAGTATTTGCATGCTTAAGGCTGAAGATATTGGGACTCTTTATGTCAATCACCAGTAAGGACAGATGAGAGCAATCATTTTCTATGACAGGGATTTAACCTTTTTTGATCAAATTTCTGAGAAACAGCTCACTGCCACTTGCCTTTAGGGACCTTGCATCCACAGTTTTTAGGGGTGACCTACTTGGGAGGAATTCTGTGCAACTAATTAGCTTCTCCTCAGCAACTTGGATATTTCATTTCCTTTCTCTTTTCCTCTGGTACCAGAATGACTGCATTCCTCTTTTCCTTTGTCCTTTGTGACTGCAAGTGTGTTTTATTTTTCTTTTTGGTGTGGGGAGTGGGTTACATATGGAAAATGTATTTTGTTTTGTAATTAATGAAAACCAGACTTTGGGAAGTTGGCCATCCCAGGTCTTTATTTATAAGAGAGCATATGTCTGTGTTTTGTTTATGACTCACTCCTACTTCTTACATTGTAACTTGGGTTTGTTTACGCAAGCTCTTCACTGAATCCAAGCAACATGGTAGTATAAGAGCCAATAGTTTATGTTTCTCCAAGAGGGGAGGCCAGTGAATGAGGTTTATATGCTGAATCTGTCATAGCCTATAGAGGGCAAGAGGAAATTCTCCCACTTGACAGCTCCTGGTTATCTACAGAAAATACTACAATGGCAACTTTATTTAAACTACTGCTAGAAGATTAGCCGTGAAGGGAGTGATAACCCCCAGATGAACCTTTCTCGAAATCTTGTCTGCTCGGGAAACTTCAAGGATTTCAAACCCAAATGACTGCTTGACAGTCAGGTGTAAATTAACTTTGCAAGTAGATGTGGGCTGAGGTTAATTTAGTGGGATGTTTTATTCTTCACCAAAAAGAAATTCTGAGCTCCATCGTTTCTTTTCTAGCAGTGCAGAACGGATATGTTAGGAGTGAAAGGGAGCACCAGTTATTGCAAAAGCAGAATTAATACATTCTGTTTCCCTCACAAAGGGGTAGTTACTTCTAATCTGTGTGCAAATCCTGAACTCTGAACAGATGCCATGTTCAGTAAAGGACAATGAGACAATTTAGGCAAAACAAGCAAGGTCTCGTGTCCTAAGCAAAGGACCAGGAGCCAAGAAATGCTGGGTACTCTTTCCAGCTCTGACAATGACTCACGATGTGACCTTGGCAAGAGACTTAACTACTTTGGACTTCATTCAGATCTAAAGTAAGTGATCTGAACCAGGAGAAAGCTTACTTTGGGGGCTATTAAAGTCAATTATATGACTGAGTAATTTCAGCTTGTATCTGCAGAGATGATAGTACAGAAACCCAGGCACATGAATTTGCCACAGATGAAGTGACCCACGCAGCTTGTCTCTGCCCACTAGTTTCAGTAACAAACACTTTTCATACTAACTGGCATTCATGACAAGAATTAAAGGCTGGGGTGAAGACATCAGGATTACATCTTTAGGATGTAGAAAGTTTTAATAGTTAAGATGATCCAGCTATGCTAAGCTCCCTTCACTCCAGCTAGAGGTTTAGAAATGAGAAGGAAGCAAACCCTTGGTAAAATATTGTGGTAGAAAAGGTTTGGTTCTTTAGGAGAGGGAAGACTGCTTAATATGAAAGTTGTGTTTCCATCTCCTCCTCATGAATCTGAAAGGATTCAAAGAAGAGTTTCCAGTCACTGTTGCTTGACTTATCCCTGTTTCTCTGCTTGTCTCCCAACAGCCAGCTCACCACTGAAGAAAAGGTTCAAGCGCCGTGAAATCGAAGCAATCCAGTGCGAGGTGCGCAAGATGTGCAACTACACCAAGATCCTGTCCACGAAGAAGAACCTGGATCATGTGAACAAGATCCTGAAAGCCAAGCGGCTGCAGAGACAATCAAAGACAGGCAATAACTTCGTCAAGAAGCGGAGGGGTCGTCCTCGGAAGCAGCCCCTTTCCTTCGACGAAGACTCCAGAGACCAAATGCCCGTTCTGGAAAAATGCATTGACCTTCCCAGCAAAAGAGGTCAGAGACCAACACTCAATCCTTTGATATTGGAGCAAGCAGCCACTCAAGATACTATCATGGCCACCATCGAGGCTGTCATACACATGGCTCGAGAGACACCACCCCTGCCGCCTCCTCTTCCTCCTCCACCCCCTCCACTCCCTCTCCCTCTACCCCGGGCGCCCCGGGTTGGGAAAAGAAAAAACAAGTCCCCGCAGGAGGAGGAGGAGGACGTGAAAGTGAAGCGGTACCGGAAGGGCAGGGGGAGCGAAAGCGAAGGCCTTCCCTAAGGCCGGGGCACCTCGTCGGACGTCGGGTGCCAGTGGCGGAGCACGCCAGGGCGGAGGGACGGGAGGTGCGCTGTCCGTTTGGCCCCTTCGGCAGCACCGGACTCACCCGTCCCTCCAGCAGCCAGAACTCACTGCAGAGAGCTCTGCCAGCCGGGGCGCGCATCTTCCTCTTCATCGCTTTGACCCAAGCCCACCCTCCAAGGGAAAAGGGGGAAAGGGTGCGGGGAAAGGTGGGGGATAGAGGGGAGGGGGATGTGTGTGAAAGCTGGTAAAAAAAAAAAAAGCATCTACTCTGCAGAGTTTCCAAAACTAATCTGAATCTCAGCATTGCTGTTCTCGTACCGTACCCGGAGGTGGGAAGTCATCCTCGCAAGGAGCTGAACGTTGTCACTAGGGGCGGCGTGCTCGACTCTGATTCTGTTTAGCAGGCCAGGTGAAACTAAGAGTAACTTTACCATAGCAGAAATCACTGTTAAAAAAAAAATTAAAAAAAAAAAAAAAGGAAAGGAAGAAAGAAAGAAAGAATGAAAGAAAGAAAAAACCTTACAAAAAATAGTGTAATTTTCTCAACTGTGATGTGGGTTATAATCTGTTTGAATTTTTTTTTTTTTCCAGTTTTTTTTACATACCTACCAGGCTTTGGGACAGCATAACCCAAAGTGCCTGACTCCTGCTAGAACTATATGTTTCTTTCTCATTTACTTGCCTAGTTACAACTAGCTGCAATATAGGCAATAGAAAATTAGAGCCTTACACGCGTGCACACTCATTCCGAGTGCTATCCCAAGGACCGATGGAATACCACAGCATTTAAAATAAGGTATACATGGATATTCAGTTACGATAGCATGTTTATATGAAGCAACTTGGCAATGGCATGTGAAAAAGGGGTCATCCATCAGCCAAGTTGTTTTGATGCTCGGTACATATGAGTAGAGAACAGCAAGACACTTCTGGGGAATAGAGTTATAGTAAACATGAACAAAATCACCAAAAAAAAAAGAACAAAAAAAACAAAAAAAAAAAAGAAAAAAAAAAAAAAAAAAGAACTTAAAAAATTGAGTAAAAAGACAGGGCCCAAACCTACCCATTTTTACCACCTGCAATTCCCAGTGAAACTGAAGGGAAACCCAGTATCCGAATAATTTGCGTTGTTTAGCAATGCCTTGATATTATCTTTTAAAAAAATAGATAAAGTAGATTGTTTAAAAAAAAACTATAGAACAGACCCTATCAATAATAGGTCCTTTCTTGGCAATTATTTCTTAAAAATTAAAAGGAATAAGTGTTCTTATCTGAAAATAGAAATAAAAATGTTCAAAGGGTATCACCACTGCAATTGTATTAATGCCACTTTGGACACGTTCTCCAAGTTGTGGTTGCCTTAATAAACTAAAAAGTAATTTTTTTTTTTTTTTTTTTTTTTTTTTTGTACATAATGTAATTATAAACCTCTCAGTCTGCATGGATGCAAACTGTGTGTGACAAATCGTCTCTTTAAATGGTCAGTTCAAATTGTACATTTCTCATTCGAGTTGTCCGTTAACCATTGATTTAACTTGGGTAAAATACCCAAGCTCCATTTCCACAGCCCAGTTAAAATGTTTAGCTAAAACAAAGACTGAACAGGAAGCTGTTCCATTGCAGTGTCAATGCTTTTAAAGAAAAAAAAAAAAAGTTAATTGTTGAAATTTGAAATAGGTACTTTCAACTTTGTATCATTTCTTTTTAATGTCCTGCAGTACACTCAACACCTGGCATGTGAAGATGGATATTAAAATAAGAACAGAAAGGGAAGATTACAGCAAGGGAGTGGGGATTGGAATTATTTAATGGTTCACAAGCCAACTTGTTATTCCCTTTCTTGAGAAATCTTGAATTGGTTTATTGCCAAGGAAACTTCATATAGCACGACACTAAAAAAAAAAAAAAAAAAAAAAAAAAATCAAAAAAAGAAACCAAAAAACCACAACAAAAAAAAACACACAAAAAAAACAAAAAAGAAGAAAAAAAACCAACAAACCCAACAAAAAAAGTCCCCACAAAAAATATTGTGTTTCTATTCTGTTATTTATTTACAAAAATCATATCAAGACTATGGTGTTAGAGGAACACTGTAAACATACAACTCGTTATTTTTTAGAGACTGATTTTTCTTCTGTGATAGCACCTTAGCTTATTAAAACTGAATACATTTGGGGATAGGATTGCGTCGGGGAGCTGGAACAGGGGATGTATTTTTATTTTTTTTGTTTTTTAAGACTGGAACAAATCTTGAGATCCTAACTCCTTAAAACTGATAAGAGGGATCGCAGAATTTTGTTTCCAATTTTTGTTTTGCATTGTGCATCATACGCATTTGTGCTTTTTTTTTCCAATTAATGCAGCTTAGAAATAAATTGGATGGTTGCTCGTTCTGTTACAAACAATTTTGCTTTTCAGCTCTCTTGAATTAGCACAGTGTTACTGACTGAAGCTGTAGACCTGCAGGAAAAAAATGCTTAAACCTCACTGAGCTCCTCACTTCTTCCTTGAAAAGCTTTGGATTGAGGTTTAGTTAATTTAGAAATATATTTTAATTTTTCCAATCTCATTTGAGCCTCAAAGTAGGTGAAAGTGTCAGTTAAAATGACAGAAAAAAACATATGTTTGGTATTCCAGGTAGCTGAAACTAAGCCAAACAACAACTTATCCTTAGTTTTATCTCCAGTGATGTCTTTATTAGCATTGAAGGACATTTCAGTGTGTGGTGAGTGGAGAAAAAGGCCTGAAGGGAACAAATTCTGTCACTGAACACCCATCATGGCTTCAAGAGGGGTCAGAGTGCCAATAAGTGCTGGATTTGGGTTGGACCTCTTTGGACGTGCTGGGATACAACCCCCTCAGGGAAGGATAACTGAGTGGCTGCCTCCCATGCTCCTGAGCTTTGGGGAAAAAAAAAATTATACTCTTATCTTTCCAAAAAGTGCTATCCAAAATGCTGCTAGAGACACAGTGTTTGAGGAGAGCATCCACTCAGAGGGTACAGCCCCACAGACCCTCCATTGAGGGAAAACATGAAGAGGTCCTTTTCGTCCTACAGAAACTAAGGACAGAGTTCAAGACTTGGTAACTGCAAGCTGTCAGCTCGGGATGGGCTCGGTCCAGGCACCCAAGGTTGGTTTTTCATGGTAAGAAGGTGCTGGTAGAGTGTTGTGCTGCAGCAAAAGAGCCTTGGCTGTTTGTCCACAAAACACCTTTGTGCAGCCGGCCCTGTGGCTGAGAGGAAAGTTAGCTTGTTAATGTCATAAAGAGCAGACTGAAAACACTGTTAGATGGCACTCAGAATTTGTGTTCTGCATGTTGCATAGTCTATAAAGATGATAAGCAAGTTGCTGACAGAATAATATTATAAGGCGATGTACTACATGCAGATCATAAAGGATTTAGTTTTAGGGCTTAAGGCTAAAATCCCACTCCTGCAGTTTATTACCCAACAATATTCCAGTAATGAGCTTTTTGATTTTTTTTCCCCTACCACTAGGAAGATTTACTGAGGAACTCTCTAAATTCTCTCCACACATTTCCGAGAACTGTATAAAACTGGGGAGAAAACCCTTTTGCTTACTAAGACCAAAAAGACCTTTCAAACACCTCTGCTGTGTCATAGATTAGCACACATCTGAGCATGCTTCAATAAAAACACACAAAAAAAATCACGTGGCTTTGAGCCATATGAAGTGAGGCCACGGGTTTGCATCTTCTCTGTGGGTCTTCTATTCCTCAACCAAGTGTAAAACCAGTAATGGGGATAAGTGTGCGAGGAGAGAGAAAAAAAACAAAACATGACCACTTGTGTCTCCAAGACCTTCATGCTGCCAGTTTCTTGAGCCCTTCAATATCAAATTTTACTGTGAAGCACCTTGCATGTTTTTGGATAACTGTCAAAAAAAAAAACCAGGGGGGGAAAAACATAAAAAACCATAAATTTATTTAAAAAATAAGTGAGAATAGTCGTCAGCTACTTGGGTATCCTACAGCATGGCCCATGACTTTCCAGTTGTCAGCAATGCTTTGGACCCTTCATGTAGAATATTTTCCTTGTGTTTTTTTGTGTAGCATCTGGTGCAATGAAGTACGGGTGCATCACTAGGGCTTCTGAGCACTACAGTAATACACCAAATGAACAGAAATTGCTGTTCCATACACAAGGATTTTCCCAGCTCTTATTTTCACAGGCCCTGATTCAGGACTGCACTTAAGCCCGTTTAAGGAGCATCCTGAAAAGTAAAAAGAACAACTTAAAAAAAAAAAAAAAAAAAAGACAGGAAAAAGGGGAAAAAAAACAAAACCAAGATGGTTTTCTGAACTGAGAAAACAAACATCTTACCCTTGTAATGCCTCTTCCTTCTATATTATCCAAAAACAGGGGTGCAGCAGTTCTAAGATAATTAGAAGCACATTTCAACAAAAGACACATATTGGAGATCTCCTTAAGATGCCTGCCTAGGTTGTACAAAACACTACATAGAAAAAAAAAGAAAAAGAAAAAAATATAAAAACATGAAAAGAGCTGCCAATTGGACAACATGGGGAAGCAGTTCAATCCCCTGTTGATTTGTTTTACTTTTCTTTTTCTTTATTTTTTTAAGCTATTTCTTAAATAATAAATGCACATGAAGTGTTAAATATGTATATACTGTATTTCAAAAAATTAAAAAATCAAACAAATGGGGCACAAGATTGTTCTATAAGTCGTGCTGGCTAATTTTTAGTTTGTATTCATAAGTGGTTTTTAAAAGCCTTTTTTAAAGTGTAATTTGCATGTTCTACTTTGATTGTATGTAAACATATTTTAGAGCAAAAAAATGTATTTGTATTTTATTGAATATAGAGGCAAGAAAAAAACTTGTACATTGTTTGAAATGTTCTTTTTGTAACAGTTTTTATTCATGAAGCATTTTTGTACATTTAAAAATGGATATGGACTTGATGTTCTTTGAGGCTTAGATACATCTGGCATGCTTTAATGTCATGCTCCTTCATGATCTTAGATGTTGGTTTTTAAACATTTTTTTCTAAAACAAAGCTCAGTCTTTTCGCTACCAAATCAGGTTAGCACAGTATAGAGCACTTAACAAAAAAAAAAAAGAAAAAAAAAAAAGTTAATCCTATTCATATGTTATTCATTGTGTGAAATTAAAGGAATTCAATTCAGTCTAACATGAGTTGTGAATTCTTTTGTCTTATTTTCCATCTGTTTCCCATCACTAAGGAGTTTAATAGCTTTTGGGATACTAATACCATGCATTCACAAGCCCTCTTTATGGTAATGGAGAAAAACATGCTTTGGTTCTGTTCTCTTTTTTTCTTTTTTCTTTTTTATTTTTTTTTATTTTTACCAGAATATTCTTAAAAGTTAAAAATGGACTGTGCCATGAGCCCTACAGACAAAAAAAGGATTCACACTTTAGCACTGTGCCTGTCACTACATGAACAGAAACATCTCTGGTCCAAATTGTGTCCCAGGGCACCAGTAGAGCAGAACTTGACACCCAGGTGGGATTTCCACTCCAGAATCCTGCAGGGAAGGCAGTCCCAGGGGCTGGGTTATGGACAAGGGGGTGACAGGAGCCAACCCTGCCCTCCCTGAGCGTCAGAAATGAGAGGCTGTAGGCCAAGGGGTATTTTCCATTTTGTGGAGCCTCATGCTGTGGCTGTGGTTCTGGGCCCTGGTTGTAGCATGGTTTTAAGTTTGTTTTCCAAGTTGCTGCTGAGAGTGGTCAGCTGCCATTTGTACAGTCAACCTCAACATCCCCAAGTTCCTCTGCAGCAATGCCAGACTTCCTCTTTTTCCTCCTTCTCAGAGAGGGTCCACCACCCTCCCCAACAGCTCAGCAACCTGCGTGTGGAAATTAAATCTCGCCTCCTGGGGAGGTCAGTGGTGCTCAGGCAGGATAGATACCTTAGCTTCTCACATTCTTCCCTTCTGAAGCTTTCTGGGATAGGTTGTCTTGGTGGAAGCAGCTCATCCAACCCCAAAGACGACCCCTCCGACTGCTGTTTTGACAGCTGTTGCTTCCTGCTACTGTAGTAGAGCTGCTCCAAAGATCTCAAACGTGATGGGGCGCTTTTTTTCCCCCTTTCCTCCCCTCTCTCCTCTCTCCTCTCTCTCTCTCTAATATACGCATAGCCCCAGCTTTTGACAACGGTTTGCAAAAGTGATGACATCTTCTCTCACTGGTTTTTATCAGGATCTGTGATGTACAAGCTACTGGTCTCCGACTCTAACCACATTTTAGTGAAAGGCCTGCAGTAAGGCTCCCTTGGAAGCGTCTGTGAGCTGTCAAGTTTTGTGCTTGTTGCTGCAGCATCTCAGGAGTGTTCTCTCCTCCTGCCAGCTCTTTACTGAGATTCAGGTCCCATCACCACTGCTCTGCTGTTCTTTGGTGGTGTCACCTCGCAGCCGCGATGTAGCATTGGGAAAGTTTCTGTCACTGGAGGGGTCAGGGCATGAAGAACTCCCATTTGTGAGGTTTTCATACTTTCTTGACTCTGGTGTTTTGTTTTTTTTTCTTTTCACCAGACTGCTGACACCATGTAGTGTCAGAAGACCATACTCCTCACCAGTCTCCTCCTGGGCAGGTGGGTCTGCCCAGGAGGTCTTTGGTCATCACCCCACCCCAGTCTGCTTTGTCAGGGTCAACTCTTCCTAGCAGGACTCTTCCTAGCATCCCTCTGTGACTGTTTCATCTGTAACTACTCTAGTGCTGTTTGGTCCTGTGGATTAAACCACCTACGATAAAAACCTTAGAAGGTCTTAAAAACAAAGTTCAGGAAATTCACAAGCTCTGATAGGTTACCCTCTCTGATGGCCTCCAGTGACTTCTTCCAGCCATACCCATTCTGTGTTTCTGTGAGATGCTGTTCTCTTTTTTCAGTTTGCCTGGGTTCAGTGTTTTCCAAATTAACTTAGAATACTTTCACTATTAATCTCTGCCCTGAAATAATTGCCAATAATGAAAACCTCAAGTGTTCTGGAGAAATAGTGTCATTTTCTGATTATCCTCCTTTTTCTTCTGAGCATCCTTTGCTCATAAAAGTTGTGAACTTCTGTTCAAACCTTCTTTGGCCATCCTCCATGTTATTGGAGTTTGAATTTTTGAGGGAATTTCACACTCTACCCTCAAGCTATGGATAAGGAGATGAGAGCTCTCCCTTGAGGCAAAGAATGACCTTAATTCACTTTTGATAGTGGAGGATGTTTGTGTTCCCTGGGGTAAGGAGGCTGACTGAGGTGATCACAACTCATCCTCAGCAGGCAGAGACAAACCTCAACCTTAGCCCCACTCATTCTCACGGTACCATTTCCCACCAGACTTCAAGAGATCTCTCATATGTTGTCTTTATTTTGTGTTTAGGAAATTTTAGTGGCTGGAGATGCCTGCAGCCTTGTATGCAAGTTGTGTGAGCTCATGACAGGATTACTTGGTGTTCTGTAACACAAAGCATGCACATAATTTTAGAACAATGCTACTGTTACTGACTAAGTAGAAAAATGTTCCAGTGACTTTGAGGGGATCAGTGACAGGACCCTGCTCAAAGCCCTTCAGTACACACCATCTGGCAAGCTCTAGAAAGCAACGGGAAGCAGAGATGTCAACCAAAAAAAAAAGTATATGTTTGGCCTTTTCTGAACAATTCATGAACCACATCACTGGTGCATTAACACAGGGTTTCAGAGATAATAGCAAGCACAGAAATTACAATGAAGAGTGACGTACCAAACAATCTATGCATTCTTTTTACTGGGAGCTGCAGGAATAACTGGTGTGAAAGCACCACAGGAGTTGTAAGAGGACTTTGACAGAATGTTAGTGCAATCGTAAGTCATTTCATTATGACAAGCAACTTTCTTTGTAACACAGATCAAGACACACTGGCTCACATTCTCAGCTTATGCAGGTCAGCACTATCAGTTTCAATGTGGTAAAGCATTTTGCAGGAGCAAAAGATCTGTTTTCATTTTCTTTATGGAAACTATTTATCCCAAAGTGCCTTTGCAGTGTCACTAGTTAATAGGATGCCATACAAGCTACTGTTGTTTGTTGCCTGTAAGAAGTGCCATATTGAGAAAGCAGACCTTTGTTAAAGATTCAAGTGTTTGGAAAACTGGTTCAGCAGCACCTGTAGCCAAGTCACCATGGTTTCATTAGAGCTGTGGTGGAAGGAAGAGGGTAAGAGAAGTGGAGAGTCCTCAGGAAAAAGGTGAAACATAGTGTTCTACATACCAGGAAGTTATTTAACTATTAATATCTATTTCTCATGACACTGTTATGCTACAAAAAATAATCTGAAATAAATTCCCATGTCCTAAAAGTCATGGAGTGTCTCGGTCCTGCATAAGTCAAGCATATAGGAAGCCCAGTGTTTTTTTCTCCAATGCTTAAAATAGATGTAGCTTGTATGGCATCTGTTTACCATATCCCACTCTGGACCTCCCCCATTCAGTGACAGAAAGCACAGAGCAGGATCCTACTCCCTCTGTACTTTTCCAGGTTATCTGCTCCAGAAGAGGGGGAAAATTACTTGGTTGTCCCTGAACAACTTTGGAAAGGCATGAGAAATTTCTTGCCTGTCTCCATTCCACTCTCACGCTTTCTCATATCTGCCAGTTCTTAAACTGTCCCCACAAATATTATTGGTAAATAATGCTCCGATCGAACTGACAGAATTCTTGTCTCAGAGGGATCAAAATTCCCACCTCATCTCCCTGATTTAACGTGCCACAATGCTATTTGTGTACTCTAATATCTCTTGGTGCCTTCTACTTGCCTGGCCTGACATTCTGTTTATATTCTCAAAGAATAAATCTATCTATGTGTGAAAATGTGTGAAAAAAGGGCAAACTGCAAGGGATTTTACAAGGTAAAGGCAAAGAAGAGAGCACATGAAGGGCGTCCACGGGTGAGCATTTTCAGAGCATGGCAAGAACACAATTAGAGAAGGGATGAAAAGTGATCTCTCAAGGAAGCAAATGATAATGTGGCAGAGCTCTAATGAAGCTAATGGCAAAGGAGGGCCCTGCTTCGTTTTTCTAGAAGACAGGAAAAAATAAAACAGCACACTTGAAGGGGAAGCAATGAGTTCAGAAACACAAAAGGGCATTCACTGAAGGGAGGGAGAGGCTGGAGGATACGAAGATTTAGGTCATGAAGAGAGTATAAAAATGGATCTTGCGACAGAAGATGGAAGAGGCAGCCTGTTTGCTTACTGGGACTTTATTGCTGCTTTCTAAGCTGACACAGCACTCCTCATTTATCCTCATTAAACAGCTACCATCAGGGCATAGTTAGTGACCATTAGCCCTCAGTTCTCTCTCTTTAAACTGCAGATAAATAGCTAGCTACTGCAAGAAGTAAAACTTTCTTTACCTGAATTATTGATAGTTACAGTTTACCAAACTTCTGGTCAAAGATCAGCAAATGACAATAAAGGTCTGGCAACAGACAATAGTTGTACAGAAGTCTGCTTACAAATATGAGAATTCAAGCAGATGCCCTTTCTAGTTAAATGGTCTTAGCTTCACTTAAGAGATAATATAATAATGTGCTGTTGATCCTTTACCTTCTGGTCCAGTGGAAGGTGTCCCTCCCCATGGCAGGGGGTTGGGAATGAAATGGTCTTTAAGGTCCCTTCCAACTCCTACCCCAAGAATCTGAGGGTCAAATACTTGTGCTTGCTGCACTTCTGAGCAACTTACTTTCTCATGGGGATGGAAGGAGCTTTGTGCCCAAGAACAAGCCACTGTGCCATCTTATTTATTAGAGAAGGCAACCAAAACACTGTTCATTTCATCCAAATTGTAAGTGCTATTGGGTTCTCCTATTTTGAAGACCCACACATTGCTCTGTGTTTTCTGAATATCCCAAGAAGAGGCCATGGATTTAGCTGAGCAGCCTAATAAAGAAAAACTTTCCAAAATTTTATGATTTCTGTAAAAGTGTGAATAAAATAAAGATGAAGAATTTGACTGGAAGCCAGCCATTAGGTTTTTGCTCAGGATGACATGAGAAGGGTTTTTGTTTTGCTTTGCTTTCAAATAGTGTTTCACCAGAATGTTATCTCCAGTATGGCCATGGTGACCCTGAGGGACCAGATTCCATCAGCTGAGAATTATTTTGCTTTTCTTAATGACAAAAGGGTTGAGCAAAGAGGCACAG